TCAAAAAAAGCAGAAAAAAAAAAAAAAGACCCCTGAGCAGCAGACGAGGCTGCAGTCATCGCTGGTAACCAGGAGGGGGAAAAGTGGAGATTGGGCGGGTGACTTTGGAGCTCCCTTCTCTCTGCCCACGCCTCCTTCCCTTATCTTTCAACACGGAGTGCTTACTAACACCATACTCGACCCGCACTCCAGTCACCGTTTACATTCAGGGAGCGCGCGTGGCAATGCCCACGACAGCCTGGAAGGAACGCTGATCTTGGCTATATTTTTGTATTATATTCTGAATGTGTTCTTTATGAATTGTCTCTTTTTGCTATTCTTCTCTTTTTTTTGCTTCGATCATAATATGAGATGGATATTTCTCTTCTCCCAACTTTTCCCCATCGGCTAGCTTATTCTCTTTCTCCTCATTTTCGGCCAATGAAGTAAGAGAGTGGCACCGCTAAAAACTGTACACTTCTCCCTCTTGGCTTGAACTCTTTGCACACATGATCAGGGTATTATGTGTATCTGTAACCATTGTATAGGCAATCCACTGTCCGAGAATTTAGCTGTCTTCTTTCGGCTCCATGGTACCATCCTGAGTTGGGAAGTACCTCGTCTTAATACATTTCCTCGTCATCCCTACGCCACAGGGAGGCAAGTTCCACAAGCTGCCATTCATGTCCTCCATCCTGCTTCCAACCCCCTTTCTGGTCCTTCTCCTTTTCATCGCTCATGGCCCGTCCTAGAGTTCTCTTTTCGCATCATCTAGTTGCTTTAACAAAATCAGCATTCATCAGGGGCGACGTGTGTACGCCGCGCACAGACATAGAATGGCAAGTCAGCTTTTCTCTTAGCTAAGCATTTTCTTTTTTTATTTATCTTTAAACAATATTTCTTCTTATATAGTTTATTTGTTGTTTATTTTTTTCTTTTTTTTTCATATTATCCTCCAGTCAAGTAATCCTTATGTGACTTAGTTATAAACTTCAAATTTCAGGGGCCTGGCTGCGCAGTGGGCGCCTCACCACCTGTAATCCAGCCACTTGGCAGGGCAGAGGTGGCGCCGGGTCACGAGGTCAGACACGATGCGACGACCATCCTGGCCTACACGGTGAACACTCGCATCTCTACTAAAAATGCATAAACATTTAGCCGGCCCATGATGCGCAAGCCGCCTGTATCCCAGCTACTCCCAGGAGGGCTGAGGCAGAGAAATGGTGTGAACCCGGGAGATGGAGGCTTGGGCAGTGAGCCGAGATTGTGCGCACCTGATACCTCCAGCCTGGGCGACACAGGGCCGAGGCGCTCTAATCTCAAACCCAAAAACAAAACACAAAAAACAAAAAACAAACAAACAAAAAACAAAAAAAAAAACTGCAATTCAGAAAGTCTCCCCTGGCCAGGCGCGGTGGCTCATGCCTGTAATCTCAGCACTTTGGGAGACTGAGGCAGGCAGATCACCTGAGGTCAGGAGTTCGAGA